GAATTTGGGATAAAGTAATCCTCCAAGAGATTCTTACCCCGAGACTCCCTACGTCTGTCCACATTCGGGGCACGACGACGGTGTTGCCTTGATTGATTAAGCATACACACCGCTGCTGCAAGCATTTGTTCCTCTTATTCACCGGCGTCCCGATCTTCTTCAGCACGTCTACGCCGGATTTCTTCCCTTTGTTTCTGTTGCCTCTCCAACACCCTTCTCAAGTTTGACATTGAGAGTAGAAAGTGTTTTGTAAAATCTGAGAAATGAAGGAATAGATAAGAGCTGGTGTGAGAGGTATGAGTTGATGGTGTAGTTTTATAGAGGGATTCAGAAGATAGAGATGACACGTGGCACAAATTTAGAGGGTGAAAATCTTATTTGAAATCTGAGATTATAATTTTTTTTAAAATATATGAAAAACTTATCTGACATGGGACACGTGACACAATTTTAGAGGGTGGAAATCTTATCTGAAATCTGAAATTATAATTTTTTTTTAATGAATATCCGAAAATTTTATCTGGAATAAGACATGTGGCAACCGAGATTCTCATCCGAAAATCTTTTCTTAAAAATAATGGACACGTGACAACCAAAAATCTTATCCAAAAATTTAATTACAAAAGATTATCAAAATTAATGTTTTAAAGTATAAAAAAATAGGAAATAAAGTACAATGAATAGTATTTGCCTTAGACTTGCCCTAGACTTAGCCCTCATGGGTGGAACCACAAATGGCAAGGTTGACACTATTCACATGAATAGTAGCAGCCCTTGCTTGCCCTTGCCCTAGACTTAGCCCTTATGGGTGGAGATGCTCTAAGGTAAGGCTAAGGCAAGGCAAGGGCTGCCACTATTCATGTGAATAGTGGCAGCCTTGCCTTAGTTGGTTCCACCCTTGAAGGCTAGGGCAAGGGCAAATACTATTCATTGTACTTTATTTTCTATTTTTTATACTTTAAATCATTAATTTTGATAAGCTTTTCAGATAATATTTTCGGTTGCCACGTGTCACAATTTATTATAAAATTATCACCTCAAATTTCAGATAACATTTTCGGATAAAATTTTCTAATTAAATTTTCGGATAAGATTTTTGGTTGCCACGTGTCCATATTTATTAAATTAAAATTTTCAAATAGAATTTTGTAGTAGAAAATTTGGTATGGAAAGTGAAAAATATTGAAAGGAGATGAATTTGTATAAAAATTTGGTGTGGAGAGTGAATAATATTGGTAGGTATTTATAGAAAAAATTTCCAGAATTTTTTGATATATTTTTTAAAATTTTTTGATATTTTTTTAAATTTTTTTTAGGCTCTGACGTCAGCAGCCTGAGGGCAAGAGCCCAGTCAATTTCTGCCTGTGGGCTTGCCCGGGCTAGTGGGTCCCATGCCTTGCCGGGGCTGTGTTTTGTGCACTGGAGGTCCAAACCTTGCTTGGGGGGGGCCTGCTGCCAGGGCAAGTCCATAGCACTGGACTTGCTCTAACGTGTCCATCAAATAATTTATATAGAAATTTAGTTATATACCCAATCTTAGACATAGTCTTATAAAGAAACCCTATACCATTTAAAAACTATAAACAAAAAAAAAAAAAAACTCAAAAATTGATAGCTGTCAATTTTTTCAATTTAATAGCTATTTTTTAGTTTATTTGTGTGTGTTAAATACCTATATTGCCCTTGTATTATGGATTTGAGAGAGAAAAATCAAATCTGCCTAGATCTGCCAAAAAACCAGATCTGCCAAAAAACCAAATATGCCAAAAAACCAAATCTGATTTATTTTCTCCTTTCTCGCTGGTGCTTTCTCTGGTGTTGGAGCAAGAGGAGCTTCCATTGAAGCTCAGTCTCAGGTCCAACTATATTCTTCATCTTTAATCTACAATTTTCAATATTTCACCTTCGATTTCTTGTTCTAAAATCGTGCTTCTATTGATTTTTTTTTTTCCAAATTGTTCAAGACCTCGAAAGAACCTAGATCATATGTCCTTAGCTCTACTCCTTATCTTCGAGCTCTACTCCTCTTTCGCCACGTCGTCGTTGTTGTCATCGTCATCGTCGTTTGGTTTGGACTTGAGATTTTTGATCTTTTGCTTCAATTATGTGTTTCTCTTCGGATTTCAGTTGATTTTCAAAATGTATTTTAAGCTTTTATGACCGATTTATCTTTAGTTACTATTTCAGTTATGGATCTCATTTTTGTTTAACGATATACTTCTATGACAAAGTATTAACAATGTACTTCTATAACAGAGTATTAACAATGTACTTCTGTGACATAATAGTATTAACAATCTGGGCTCGGCTTGTCTTGAGTTGGTATGGTTTGTTCTTTCTTCATCTTTTCTTTGGTGGACATGTGTTAGAAATAGCAACATGACAGTAAACTAGCAGTGTTATTACCCTAGACTTGAACATTACAGGGGTAGACATGCATTAGAAATAGGATGTCATAGAAAACTAGCAGTGTTATTACCCTAGACTGGAACATTACAGGGGTAGATATGCATTAGAAATAAGATGTCATAGGAAACTAGCCGTGTTATTACCCTAGACTGGAACATTACAAGGGTCGACATGCATTAGAAATAAGATGTCATAGGAAACTAGCCGTGTTATTACCCTAGACTGGAACATTACAAGGGTCGACATGCATTAGAAATAAGATGTCATAGGAAACTAGTATTGTTATTACCCTAGACTGGAACATTACAGCCATTAACCAACATGACAGTAAACTAGCAATGTTATTACCCTAGACTGGAACATTATAGCCATTAATAAATCTGACAGTAAACTAGCAATGTTATTACCCTAGACTGGAACATTACAGGGGTAAACATGCATTAGAAATAAGATGTCATAGGAAACTAGCAGTGTTATTTCCCTAGACTGGTACATTACAGGGGTAGACATGCATTAGAAATAGGATGTCGTAGGAAACTAGCAGTGTTATTACCCTAGACTGGAACATTACAACCATTAATCAACATGAAAGTAAACTAGCAGTGTTATTACCATAGACTGAAATATTACAATCGTTAATCAACATGACAGTAAATTAGTAGTGTTATTACCATAGACTGGAACATTACAACCATTAATCAACATAACAGTAAAGGTGTGGAACATTATAGTCATTAATAAACATGACACGTAAATGAAGCTGTGGTTTTCAAGACGTTTTGTTTGTAATGAATTGTTTGGTTTTTTTTTTTATTTTATAAAATTGGACTGGGCTTGTTTTGGTGCTATTTAAGTTTTTTGTGTTGGGCTTCTTTTTTAAGTTGATCAATGACAGTCATATAATTTATATGAACTTAAACAACAATTTCTTATGTAGTAAATGAGTTTTAGGTGTATTTCTAAAGTGCATTCCATGTGGGTTTTTTTTATATAATTTCAACCCCTATTTTGGGTATATTAGTAAAGCTCCCTAATTTATAAAACATAACTATTCAAATAAAGCCTAGATCTATCTCTCCACACTTTGAGAGGAATTTGATTGGACTTGGGCATTTGGTATGCATGTTAGCAGGCTACGCATGCATGCACCACAAAGAAAGGAGAAAAAGAAAGACAAAAATGTTGCTGCAGTCTTTAATATCCAATACCATCAATTGAATGTGGGATGGGAATGATTAGTTTGAAACGTTTGCCATGAAAAAACAAAACCAGGAATTTCACTTCAAGAGGGCACCTCGGACATTTTAGTATTCAAACAAAATTTCTTCAAAATCCTACTAGAACTTTAAAATAAATAAATAATAATAATAATAATGCTTATTAAGCTTCATCTCATGGCCATGATTAATCCATTCAATCTCAAAGATTAAAAAAAACACATCCAATGGCTAATATATAAATTTGAGGGTTAAATATTCAATATCAATTGTTGTAGGTGTTTTTAGCACAGCCAACAATGAAGCATCAGCAGGGCTGAAACCTAAGTTATGGTATGGGTTCACTTGTACACAAAGAGCAAAAGATCACCGTGAAGGGCACCGGTGTGGTACCGGCCAAACCCTCTTCGATGCTTAAGTTAGTGAACTGGTGATAGTGAATGTTTATGAGTGATTTATGAATGAGAGCTTACTCATGGGCATGTTTGAGGGGCATATTTATAATGAGCTACTACTGGTATGGGTCCGTTGAGGACCCAAGTTATCCCAGCTGGAGGTGTCTGACGTGCCCTTGGAATACGTGCGGGACATTCCTTGGGCGCACGTGGTGGCTTGCTATAAAGGCGTGTGGTCAATGGCGGACTCAGGAATTTTTATAGGAGTAGGCTAAATTTTTTATTTTATTTTTAGAGGAGATATATTATAAGCCTTTTTCTCTCCTGAACAAAAATGTAAATAAAATTTTACAAATCAAACAAAGCCATATTACGAGCAAATATAACACAAAGAAGTACAAAATGTAAATAAATAACAAACAATCTCGTTTTAGTACAAAACCATCCTTATCAACAAATCTTAAAACAATGGTCATTTGCTCTCTATTAGAGGCATCTTTTGCTTCATCAACAAGAATACAATAAGTTGATTCCCCAAAAATACTAGACACCAAAAACCATATATGCTAATTAATTCAAGTTGTAAAAATAAAACATATATCAACAATCTTCAAAAGTTTTCACCCAGACCCTAAATCATAAAAACTTAACAACAACAATTAAAATTAGAAATTGAATATATATATATATAAAAGAGAAACTTACCAAGATTGAAGAACCCACTCAAGATAGGTTGGTACAATTTTTTAGAGGAGGAGAGTTATTTCCTCTAGGCTCTCAAGGTTCAAATATGGCGTTGTGGGTGGCTAGAAGAAATTTTTTGATGTTTGCTCTATGTGGATGTAGCCCAATATCAGTACGATTAGAATAGCTCAAGTTGGTAGAGCCTTATCGTGAGCTCTACTTCTAATCAAATTTATATAGGTTTGGATTGGATTGACGTTTATTATTTCCTATATGCTTCAGGAGTGGGACTGAGCTATTATTTACTTTACTTAGATTGGGCTATTATTAATTTATTATAAAAAATTTAAAAAAAACAATGCATGTGTGGGCTATATTTATTTGGTGCAATGGGCAAATATTTATTTGAGTAAGAATAAACCTATAATAATAAGACCATATTTAATATTTTATAAATGATCCCCTAGGCTGGAGCCCACTCCAGCCTAGGCTTAGGTCCGCCTTTGCGTGTGTTGGTATGCACGTGGCGGAGGTCGTCTTGGACGGGTAGG